ACTTACACTCACCTTTTCCCAATTCCTGACATCTGCACTTCAAATACGGCCTACCGACGTTCCAAACTCTCTTGAGCTCAGCAAGCGCAGTCTGACCCTTGGGAGGGTAAAAGCCCCTGATAGCAAGGGCGGTCAGGGAGGCAGAACACTTGAGTGGATCAAAGTGACCGACAATGGGAAGCTTCATGGCCTCCGCCGTTCGAGGGTAGGGACCTTTAATCAGCTCAGTGTTCTCATCGAGAGCCCGATTGCAGCAGAGATCCACCTGCAGCAGAGATCCACCTCCTCCGCAGTGAGGGATGCTAACAATCTGTAAGCATTAACACTAATGGGTGCCAAATGATTGAAAGTATCGAGCTCCCAGATTTTGTTTCCCTTAGCCCTAGCTTCGGATTCTATCCATCTAGCTGGCGCAATGGGGAGGAAAGCGTTACGGACAAACTTGTTGACATCAGTGGTCTTCTCCTTAGCAAGTCCCACAGCTAACTGGGCATTTGACTCTGATATAAACTTCGCGTGAAAGGCTTTCTCCTCCTCCATAAGGGGGAGGCCATCGTCCTCATCAGAATCAGGCTCAGAGCCACAGGGATCGGGTGGGAGGTGCTGGGAGAGATCAGCATGGAATTCGGAGACAGCATTCCACAATTCAATAAGCACCTTCTCCTTCATCAGGATCTCGTCCCTAATGGACGACTCGATCAAGAGGTCCTCCTGACGCATCTGGTGAGCACCAAGGACATAGCACCTAGACATGTGGGGGAAGGATTCCTTGTCGTGAGTCGAAGCCCAGATGAGATCAGCCCAATCATTGAAAGCCAACACCGAGATGAGGGGACTGTGGGGGGGAGGGGTGTGCAAAGAAATTTCTCGAACGAAGTCGAGAACGCTTGGATGAGCAAGAGAGATCAAAGCTTGAGCCGGACGAGAAGGAGGATCAAACTGCCCCATCCATGCTTGATCACCCTGGATCAGTTCAGAGTACCATCCGTTTGCCGAAAAGATGGGCTTCTGCTACACAACAAACAAAAAGGCAAAGCGTAAGCACAGAATCTCATGGACATGATTCAGACCAGCCAGTTACCACCACATCATTACCATGAGGATTCATACCAAGGGTAAGCCGAAAAACTATGAACGGAATCCCACTAATCAAGCCACTGCAAGGTAGTTCGGCAAGGGGGAGTCAACCCCCACGCTGGTAAACGGGCGGGCACAAATGCCCTATGAGTGTGGATTATGATACGAAACCCCCACGCGATCAGGCGTGGCGAACTTCCTGACTGGGCCTAATACACTGGGGACCGTTGCGCAGAGATCAGCGAATTCATGGCGTTGATTCCATCAGAGGGTCAAAAAAATTGGGGTTACGAAGGAGGCTGCAAGATCACTTTCCCATTTTACATTGTGCTACAAAAAGACGCCAATGATATGCCAATTGTTTATTGGAACACAGAGAATCACCTTTTCACAAACGGGATGGCATGACCAAAACGCAGGGGAGCAAAAAACATGAGGGACGAGTAGTCAGAAAGGAAGAAAAAAAGGGGGGTTCAGGGAAAAGATCAAGGGAGATCAGCCGGAAAGAAATTGGCGATCATATTTCCGGTGGAGTAGGATGCTTAGAGTCAGGAGAGAGGGGGGGAGCGAAAAGAGAGAGGGGGAAACGAGGGGGAAATGAGGGGGAAACGAGGGGGAAACGAGAGGAAGACAGAAAGGGGGAAGTAGATACAAAGAATAATCACTAAGAGCAACTCATTAATCCGCGGAAAATTCAGATTTCAAAGATGCGTATGAGCTCCTTTAAGATGTATACACTCATAACAGGCTTCCAAACTTCGTTCAAATGTGAGCAGCAAATATTGCGAAGGCCGTGAACTTAGCAAAAGGCAAGGCAATCCGAACGCGAACACAGTGCCGAGGTGTAAGTGCGACAGAACTGCCATCATGAAAAGTGCTCATCCACTATGAACAGTTATCATAAAGAGTTCACACCGCCAAGACAAATATGAAACAACAAGATTCCCGCAACTCGTTCCTTCAACGCTAAAGCAGCAACCTCACACAGACTCTTATGATCGATGGGTCCTCCAAGTGGAAGGCACTATCATGCTAAACCAAATTCCCTGTGCCCATTGATCAGTAGTAGGTGAGGCGTAGACACCAACCACGCAAGCACAACCATCCATCATTCAAGCGGTTCCATAGTATCTGACAACCGCCAACTCGCTAACCCGCCAATTCATACAAAGACTTCCCAACACAACAGCGAGAAAGGCCAGATACGCGAAGAGCATGACGGCTAGGCTTTCACTAATTGCCGAAGAAGAGCGAGCATAGCATACATCTGGCATCGCCCCAGAACCACCAGGAGTCGCCATCACGACGAGTGTTATCATTGAGGCTAGAAACACAGCGAAGGCAAACACAAAGATCCTCAAAACGAAGCGATCCCTTTACAATCCATCATAGTGAATCTTAAACCAAACACCTGCCCTTAGAGGCACTATTCACCGTGGCATTCGCCCGCGCGATCAGCTGGGAACAAAGATTATTAAAGTGGGATTCCTCCAAATAGGAGATGAACGCCAAATAGCCAAACAGAATCGAGCACACCGCAACGATGCCAATGACAAACAGCGCAGCCTCCATCACTCAAAACTTCGCTATACAAGTCCCGAGGCGATGACCAGCTCCTAAACAACAACAACATTCCCACATCAACATCACAATTGCACGAGACAGCAATGATTAGGTAGCATCAAGGTATCAAAAGAACATATATGTATAATATCAGAAAAAAATGATAAAGCTCCCAATTCGGCCAAGTGGCGCGTAAATGCCAGCATAACAAAAGGGGGAAGTGAGTGATCCCAAAGGCCTTTTCGCCAAGTCTCACCACGCTTGGCTCATCAGGGGGAGAAAAACAACCCTTAGTTGACGCTCCGAAAGGGACCAGACTCTTACTGAGTCTCTCCTTTGGGGAGGGAGATATGGGAAGGTGATGGAGGAAAAGAGAGCGATATCATATTACCGTAATGCGACTGGAAGAAGCTCTGCTCATAGCTGCTGAACTGAGCGAGAAACAGATTATGGCTACCCCAGAGGTCAGGCGCGGAGCAATAGGGAGCGTTGAGCAAAGAGCAAATAGGGGGCGAATGCGAGGCCGGAGGGCGAGAAGCGGAGGGAGATGAAGAAGACGTCAAAGAAGAAGAAGAAGGGGAGGAAGAGGGAGAAGGAGAAGCAGCAGAAGCAGGAGGCGCAGCGAAGGGTTGGCGCAGCGATTCAATGAAAGTGCCGATACAAGAGGGCCGACCCGTCAGACCGGAACCATCGGACTCACTTCAAGCGACGCCGACCGAAGAGGGTTTAGGAAGGCAAAACATCAACAATAAATACAAGAGCAAAAAGCATCGAACCGTGATAAGCAAACCGCCGCCTTATGCAAAAAAAAGGGGGGGCGAAAAACACGGGGATGATTTCTCATTCATAAATTTTGCGGTGTATCTGGGCCTATAGAGCGTCCGGGTTCAGAGTTCATAAAGACTCCGTGGTGGCCTCCAAAGTTCACGGTAACGCAGCCCCCTAGGGTGACACGATTAAGGAAAAGTCCAGAGGGGGCTTTTTCTTGAATTGTACCGCGGGGCCCATATCAAAAAATTGGGATAGGACTGTAGCCCATAACTCTTCCAAAGAGCAGGTTCAGTTAGTTTAAATAGCATCAACGTGAGTCATGGATTCCGAACAGGATCCAGGACCCATGGTGGCCTCCAATTTTCACGGTAAGACTCCCATATCGTGTATCTTGCAGGGGAAGGACATGGTAGTCATTTCGTTTTACCGCGGGGCCCTATATTATTATCAGCTCACAATCAAGGGCCTGACACCGCCTGTCAGAAAACAACTTCCGTTCAGAAAAGAAGTCAAAAGCAACAGAAAGTTTTAGCAGGCTAAGTTTTAGATATATGTGTGTGTGTGTGTGTGTGTGTGTGTGTGTGTGTGTGTGAGAGAGAGAGAGAGAGAGAGAGAGAGAGAGGTGGGGAGAGGGGAAAGGGGAGGGTTGGGAAATGTTGGCGGGCTGCAGGACATGGCTGTGCAACACGGCGTGATATTTTTTTGTTTTGTTGTTTTTTTCGTCTACTTCAAGGCATATGTGTGTGTGTGTGTGTGTGTGTGTGTGTGTGTGAGAGAGAGAGAGAGAGAGAGAGAGAGAGAGAAGGCATCGGCGGCATATGAGAGAGAGAGAGAGAGAGAGAGAGAGAGAGAGTTCGCATCGATCAGTTGTGTCCACCACGAATTAATTCTCTGTTATATTTGTTTTTTTTCCGAGTGAAGCTGCAACAGGTCATCTAGTATAAGATGGTCTTCTCTGTTTTTGGTCTGCATGGAGGAGGGCAATGTAGAGGTCTTGCTCTCGTTGAGCTGATGTTAGACACTTGCCTTGAGAATTTGTCCACTCAACCTTCACTGGGAAAGCCATAATTTTCCAGGTCACCTCTTTTTTTCGTTCTCCCAAATTTCCGCACCAGCCGTTGATGATACCTTATTTGTTCACTTGTTTCTGTACAGCCATTATGGAATGCAGCACACCAGTGTAGAATCTATAGATGCCTCTCAGCTCCACTGTTTCTGTCTTCTTTCGACTCCTTTGGGTGGTACTCTATTATTTGTTGCAATGTTCATGTGTCTCACCTTAAAGAATGTGAGGCCACAAACTCCTTATGGCGCTTTGCTGAAAAATGTCATGACCATGGTGGATGCTGATGCGTCGCGCATTATGTTGTTGCAGGATTCGTGTCTCAATGATGGCAGCTATTGACAAAAGTCCTGAGCTGGTGGAAGACGACGGCCAGGAAAAGCTGAATAGACAAGAATCGAGCAGTTCTGCCGTGAGTATTCTCTCTTCTTCTCTCTCCCTCTCACATGGATATTTGCGTGTACGCATTCTGCTTGCAGTCCCCCTTGTTCAACCCTGTGTTATGGTGAATTTAGAGGAAATGAACTTCAGTGTCTTCTTCTTCTTCTTCTTCTTCTTCTTCTTCTTCTTCTTCTTCTTCTTCTTCATCTTCGTCTTCTTCTTCTTCGTCTTCTTCTTCTTCTTCTTCTTCTTGGAAGATGACGGCCAGGCGAAGCTGAATAGACAAGAGTCGAGCAGTTCTGCAGTGAGTATTCTCTCTTCTTCTCTCTCCTCCTCACATTGATATTTCCGTGTACGCATTCTGCTTTGCAATCAGGCTCGCTTTCTTTACCACTTCGCATACATGCAAACAGATGGTGATTCACACTGGCGCAGGGCGCCCATTCAAAGCTCAGAGATATGGAAATCGAGAACGCAGTTCAGATGCAATTCACTTCAAAAGGCTATGGCACAACAGCGCCTGTACATCCCAACTGTCATCACCACGTCCAACACCACTGTTCACACGCACTCAACTCTTCTCAGCTCTGGATCACCCTGAATACTCCCACACACACACACACTAAGTATATCTTCCTCTTACAGCGGCTATGGCCGCTCTACCCCTACTGACTAAGGCTACGATCTCGCTCTTCATCCCACTTCAACTTCGGGCAACCTGCAGACCACCTTCGCACAAGACGCTGTAGCAGCGCTTCCGCATGGCTTACGCAGCGAATGAATGAATTGCTGGGCGCTGCTCTTGATTTATACTTCTGTTTGCCGCTGGTCTGCCCTTGTCCATCAGGCCCTGGATGTGCACAGTCCCACACGGTACTTGCTTGACCGAACTCGGTAGGACTGGGACTGGTAGCTTTGACTGCATGAGGTTGCACTGCCGACTCAACGCAATTGGACCTGCGACTCACCTACAGACCTCTAGCCTAGCAGTTTCGACCTCTGCACAGCTATGACCCCTACTTGACAGACCTACAGATCGAACCCCTACATCTACACAGACCTACGACAGACAAACAATCAACTAACGAAACACAGGTCACGGGTTCAAACACTCAGGGGTCCACTCGATACTGTACATGGGTAAGGTAAGGTCTGGGGATCGAACTCTAGGGCCCGCATCTGTGACTGCAAAAAGGTGAAAACCGTTTCAGCTTGCAGTCCCCCTTGTTCGACCCTGTGTCATGGTGAATTTAGAGGAAATGAACTTCAGTTTTCTTCTTCTTCTTCTTCTTCTTCTTCTTCTTCCTCTTCCTCTTCCTTTTCCTCTTCTTCTTCTTCTTCTTCTTCTTCTTCTTCTTCTTCTTCTTCTTCTTCTCCTTCCTCCTCCTCTTCTTCCTCTTCTTCCTCTTCCTCTTCTTCCTCTTCTTTCTTCCTCTTCTTCCTCTTCTTCTTCTTCTTCTTCTTCTTCTTCTTCTTCTTCTTCCTCTTCCTCTTCCTCTTCCTCTTCCTCTTCCTCTTCTTCCTCTTCTTCTTCCTCTCCTCTTTTTTTTTTTCTCCTCCTCCTTTTCTCCTCCTCCTCCTTCCTCTTCTTCTTCCTCTTCTTCCTCCTCCTCCTCCTCTTCCTCCTCCTCTTCCTCTTCTTCCTCTTCCTCTTCTTCCTCTTCCTCTTCTTCCTCTTCTTCTTCTTCCTCTTCTTCCTCTTCCTCTTCTTCCT